TACCCGTGTCCTTCACTCTTTTCTGCTGCACACAAGGCAGCGTATGCCTGTTCTATTAGAGGAAAATGCCAGTTTACTGTCACGGCACCCCTCAGTCCCATCTGATGTCAGCGCACAGCGGAAGGCAGATATTCCTCAGTGTCCTTCTGCGACCGCAAGAGCGGAGCACAGGCAGGTGGTGGCAGCATTGGCCAGCTGCTCTTGCAATGCTGTGCCTGCTCAGGCAAGAGGCGAGGCGGGAGGACCTGGTGTTCTCAGTCTGCCAGTCCTGCTGGTCCTGATGAAGGGAGGGCGGAATTCTGCAAGCTGGAGATGCTTTGGCTCAATCAGGATAACTTTCTCCATTGGTTTGGGGAAAGTGTATTAAGCACTGTCTGTTGCACTGAGTTAGATAATGAGTTGGAGAAGTGCTAGCGGGCTGGCACCGATAGTTTGGGGAACATTAAAGCTCAATAAAATGGAGAGCCTAGGTAAAAGCTTATCTTCTTATTTCTGGGGTCATGGCAACAGAAGGCCTCTGATTACAACCAGGGGGGCAGACCCTGCCCCACCTCCCAAAAAAACATCTCCGGAACCTCAAGATCTTTTATGTAATTTTGTTTTGTTTTCATAAGGACAAACACATAGGGTGTTGCCCAAGATCCTTCATTTCTCCTCCGCTGAGGTGTATTTGTGACCTCTTCTTAATGACCTCTTCCTGTTACAGGGAAGTTTAGCTTCTGGTATTATTTATAGTTTGCAAAAGACAGACTCTGTGATTTAAAAGCAGACGAGGGTGAGGAGTCTGATGGTCAAGTGTAGGGCTCACCTTCCTTCAAGAAGAGTAGAGGGAAGATTTCCTCTTCCTTTTGCTTCTAGGAAGTGACCTTCACTGGTGCAGTGGGAGGCCCCGAAGACAAGCGCAGCTGGGTTGTAGCCGCTAATGGTGGGTTGCATTTCCTGCCTGTCAGGCATGCTCAGAGCGCAGTCTCCATGCTCGATAGGGAAATGACAGCAAAGGGCAGGTGCAGTTGCTCTCTGTTTTACAGATGAGGAGGGAGTGTGCTGAGTGATGTGTCTACTCCAGTGCCCACCGGAACTCCATGGCAATGTCAGTGTCCCTCTCTGATTCCGTGCCCTCTGACCTACTGCTAAGCTACCCTCTGGGCAACTGGATGTTGAGTAGTAACAGCCTACTTCTTGAAAAGGGGGAAAAATAAACCAAAACCATTTGGGACTGCTCCAAGGGTAGATTCTGCTTCCCCCCAGCCAGAGGGCCATCTGTGTGACCGTGGGCATCCACGAGAATAGCAAGACAATAAAAGTGTTGTCAAAGGCATATGATGTCATTTGGTGAGGACAATAGCAGTGAAATACAAGGTGGCCCACTCAGAGTCAAGGAAAATGATCTGATCATTGAAATACACACATGCACACGTACATGCATGTGAACACACACATAGACACAGGCACAAACAGGTACATAATTCATGCACATCATTTTGTAAAGTAGAAAGTCTTTGTGTGCATGTCTGAAGAATTATGCTCAGTTCTTTGGAGACGAAGGTACGAAATCCTCAAGCCCGCAGGGCTCTGTGTGGAGCTGAGCGCAGATCAAGCAGAGCTCTTGGGAAACTGTTTTTGAGAAAGCAGACAGCAGCTGAGCATAAGAAGGTTTGATTGGCAACTGTACACTCATCACAGGAAGTCACGGGACACTTCTCAAAGTCATTTGGAACTTTGCGGTTTGTGGCTAATCCTCTTACTTTCCCGTCCCTTTCGGCATGAGCCTTCCGGTGATTTAGCATTCTTCTTTGTAGGCTCATGTTCAGAGGCGGTTGCTGGCTTTTCACTTCCTATCTCTGTTTCTTTTCCTTACAGAGCAGTTTAAGAGTTATCAGACTTGAGCTGTGTTTGCTGTAGGTAGCGAAGGCTCCCATGCTGGAAAGACAGTCCTGGGTTACTGGGCAGTCAGCCTGTTTGCCAGTCAGAGCCTTTCTCAGTTTCTTCCAGATATAACAAGCCACAGTCATCTTCACTCCATCCCATCCATCCTTTCTGGTCTAGAGGGCAGGCACTGGCGTCAGTTCAGCCTCCTACCAGCAGGGGGTGTGTTCATTCCTCTTTATTATTGAGGGCAAACCAGAGCCCCTCTAAGATCTGGAGGCAGGCTGCTCTGAGCCTTTACCTCACCTGTGATACTTTGTGTTTTGTGGATGGACCGAGAAGATATCTCGTCCTCACCCCTTTCCTCTGTCACTGCTGTGTTTAGAGTAAAATCAGATGTCATGAGTGTAAAGTAATATAACTGCCTTCCCAGAGGAAACAAAGACATAGGCCACCTAAAATAAGACCAATTTGTTACTTAAATCTGAGCCAGAAAAGAGGAGGGTGAATGACCATCTCTCAGAGAAGTTTTAGGGAAGCTCCCATTTTTTCTTCTCTGGATTGGTTGTTGAATTGGCTTCTGAGTTCTATTGCATATGAACAGAGCTGGTTTTTCTCAGTACTGTGTTGTGTGTGTGCCTTGAGCATTCTGGATGCTTGTGCCCTCTTTGGTGACCTTCCACTTGCTTCTTGAAGTTTCCTAGAACTTTTCGCCCTCGTGTCTTGTGGTCCTTCCGGTGGTACCCAAATGACATCTAACACAGCCGTGAGAGCTGATTTAGCATCTGAAACACTTACTGGGACTATGTGTGCAAGAGGAGCTAAAGAAACCCAGGTCACAACCGAAGGATGGTCCAGGACTGACTTATGACACTTACAAGGGGCTGTATTTTTACTGTATTACATTTAGTGTGCCATTCTAGAAAGCAAGCATGCCTCTGGCTTCCGTGATGGATGGCAAGGCTTACATCCTGGGATGCCTTGGCGGAGAAAGGGTTTCAGATGGAGTTGCAGCTACTCTCACTCTGCCTCTGCATTTGCTGTGGAAAAATCACAAGGTCTTTCTGGGTCTAGGGAAAAATCTGCAGGTTAGATGGATTTGATTTAACATTTTTCCTCTTTTTTTTTATTTTCCCTGTTTTTCTTTTTCTGTGGTAGGAGTTACTCTTAATCTGTTACCCAGGCTGGTTTTGAACTCCTAAACTTGAGCAATCCTCCCTGCTTTAGGCTCCTGGATAAATGGGACTACAGATGAGTAATACCACACCTGGCTTTGAGTCATTAGTTTCTGAGCTTTCTCTATTTCCAGAGATGCCAAAAATCACAATTTGCCACCTCTAAGACAGGCCATTTCTAGAACTGAGTTTAATATTATCGATTTTCTTATTACTTTTGTGGTGCTAGGAACTGAACCTAAGCTTTGGGCATGCCTAGCAAGTGATTTACCATTGATCAATATTCCAGACACCTCCTTATTTTCTTTTGTCTTGAAATGGGTCTCATACATTGCCTAGGCAAGCCTCACTTGCCATCTTTCTTCCTCAGCCTCCTGGGGAGTTTGGAACTGTAGGCATGTGCCAGCATGCCCAGTTATGCTCATCTCTTTGTGAAAACTTATCAACTCTGTAGTAGTGAAGAGACTCGCCTCACTACCTGGTATTATCAGTCTTACCTAATTATGAATGGCAGTTCTAAGGTATGAATGACACAACATTAATGTCACCTGACCATTCAACTCTCTTATAAAGTGGAAACTAAAATTAAGCTATCTTACAGAGTCTTTTTAGGTTAACACTACTAACAACTTCATCCTGACATTTTGAAGTTTAATAATGTAATTTGTTAAATAATTTTGCTTGAGGATAGCATGGAGATTGTAATCGGTGTACCATCTCTTATTAGCATGAACTCCGAGGGCAGCCATTTTGTTTTATCTAGCATGGCGGCTCACCTCATGAATCTCTTCGTTTCCCTTGCTCTGCTCTGTTATGCATGTAGTTGGTGGAGCTCATTAAGTGCACTCCTAGCATGTTGTTTCCAAAACAATCGCGACACTCAGATAAGTATAGAATAAAGACATGTCACTATTCTGCTGAACTCTTGAATGAACCAGTGAGATAATAAATTTCATCTATCATTGAAGAGTAGGCCAAGAATTCTGTAGTTTATAGCAAGACTTTTTTTTTCTTCTAAATTCGAGATAAAATGGGTTAGTATGCAGTGGGGAACCGAAGCCGTCACTTTTGAAGTCATCTCTTCGTGAGGGTAGAGTTGTGCTGTGAGAGCCGTAGCTGAAAATTCTTAGGAGGACCTACAGAACATTTGTCTGCGTGATGTCATGAAGATTTGTAGGCTTCTTTTCGCTACTCTTGGGCTTGGAGCTGTTTGTCTAAATTGTAATATGGCTACATTCAAAGCATTATTTCTCCTGGGACAAAGGTTAAGTGGAACACGTGATTCTAGTCTGCAAGGATGTACTTTCTGCCTAAATTTATATTAGATGCTACGTCCTTGCATAATTATGGTTTCATCGTGAATCAGTAAAGAGAATATAGGAACAGTTAAGAAAACGCTAGGGGTTTCTAAACTGATGCTGTGGAGGGTTGTCATCTAAAGAGTGCCCTCACGGGCCATAGACAAGGTTCTGGTCTGTACACGCATTGCCGTTTAAGATGTAAATGGTCCTGTGGGGTGGGTATCATTATCTCATTTTGAAAATCAGATGAATGAGTCTCTGTGAAGTTATGCAATTTAAAATCAAGGTTCTGTGGCCTCTCTGAGCCAGGGTTAACATTTAGTCTGATTCTGAGTTTTATATTCTCTCTGATGCTCCGTTATATTACCCCTCTAAATGGCCTTAAATTCTCCTACATTTTAAAGTGCATATCTAGATAAACATGCAGATGAATGGGTCCCAATTTGCTTATATAATAGAGCATGCATAAAGTGGTCTTTTTCCTATTAAAGGGTTGGCCATTTTGAAACCACTCGAAGTAACCTGACTTTTTGTTCCCTGATGGCTGGATTAAACATGCGGTTTAAGAATTCTGATCTTTCCAGCCTCCTCCTGTAGGTTCTTTCTTGGTGACTTATTGTCTTTCTTTTCTCTCTTCTGGTCCCCCATGTGTCTGTAGGTGGGCTGGATCCTCTCCATCCTGGATGAGCTGCAGCTGAGCCCACAGCCTCCTGTGGGGGTGCTTCCACTGGGGACTGGGAATGACCTGGCTCGGACGCTCAACTGGGGAGGGGTAAGAACTGGAGGTGGCTGCTTCTACCCTGGAGGAGCAAACCATACCGCCAGACCACTCGGTGCTCACTACTAGAAGCAGTAGGTTGCTGCTATCACCCAGGAACAAGTCAGACATGGGGCTCCAGTTGCCTGTTTGTTTGTAGCTTCTTCAGTTTAAACTGAAAGGAGGGAGGGAGTCTTATATGAGTCAAACACATCCTTAGTACACAGATAGGGTGGTTGTTGGGCTGGCCTCAAGTGTTCATGGGAAACAATCCTGCAGATTTGTAGTCATTCTAACCCTTAGCCCTGGCCGTAACTGCAAATCTGGTTTAGACTTCAGACCTATTATTTGAGACAGGCACTACTGCTTTTGAATGTGGAGATTTTCTGATCATTGTTGTTGTAGCTTTGATGATTCCAGTATATCCTGTTGCCCTTCCTCTGCTGACTGATTCTCTGGAAGTTGTGAGGGAAGCCTGCCCTGCCCCCCCCCCCCAATCATTAACTGACTAGTCTGTGTGTATATTTATCTTACTGTACTAATATTTAAGAAGCTACTAACACACCCAGCCCAGGAGCTATTAGCATTAAAAGCTGCTGGGGGTAGTAATTTTTCTTCAGTGATGTAGTCCCTGGTAAATAGCTCATGCTCCAGCTAATCACCCCACATCCAAGAAGCTCTAATTAAACTCGGTGGACCATTAGGAAAAAGGCATGAAAATTAGAAAGGGGCTTGGGAAGAGAGGAAGGGGTCGGAGGGAGTGAAAGGAGAATAGCAGGGTGGTGGGGTGGAGAGAGTATGACCCAAATACATTATATACATGTATGAAATAGTGGGAGAATAAATTTTTTTCCTTTTCTGTTTTGGTTTTTTGAGATTGGATTTCTCTGTGTAGCTTTGGAGCCTGTCCTGGTACTTGTTCTGTAGACCAGGCTGGCCTCGAACTCACTGCCTCCCAAGTGCTGGAATTGAAGACGTGAGCCATTGCTGCCTAGCTTAAAATATTTTTAAAAGACACTAACATGTTTGCTTGCCAACTTGCTAAGACCCTCTTATTAGGCCACTCATTGCCTGGCCTCTGTTTTGTAGGACAGTGATCTTCAGATCCATGGCAGACACTGTGCTGACCCAGTAGCAGAATTAACCTATCAAAGTATTTTTTGTTGTTATATTTTGCTTTACTTCTTTTTCTTTATCGATAGCTGAAACAAAAACAAAGGCTCTTACATGAAACAACTAACCTATTACTTATGTCAGTTTCTCTTATCCAAATCCAGCGACCTTGAATAACCATGCTGTCACTAACAGCTCTCCAGGAGAGCAGCGCTCTCAGCAGCCCTGTTTCTGGGCTGACTTGCCTCAGGCCGCAGCTGGTGGCATCCCAACACAAGATCAGGGATTGGTGAATGAGATAGGACCTTCCATCTTCCTTCACGCTCCCCCTCTTTCCCACACCCGCTGGTTCTTGGTGCCTTCACTTAGATAAGGCAAAGCTAGTTCCTGCAATTTGCCCTTCTTTTCAGTGTTCTCCTTAACGTACCTAAATGGGTGAAACAGCTCACTCTTCCAGCCTTTGCATTTTAAAACCAGCAGGATTATGACTGACTCCGAATTGCTTTGGTATGGCATTGATTGTGGCTTTCTGATCCAGACAGCAAGAGTCTGTGCTCTGATTCTGTCCTCAGGGCTACACCGATGAGCCTGTTTCTAAGATCTTGTGCCAGGTGGAAGATGGGACTATTGTACAGCTGGACCGCTGGAACCTCCATGTGGAGAGAAACCCAGACTTGCCACCAGAAGAACTTGAAGATGGCGTGTGTAAGGTTAGGAGTTCTTCCTTCGGGGGCCAGAGTGGCAGCTCAGCAGTGAAGAGAGTTCACTGCTCCCGCAAAGGGCTGGAGTTCAGTTCCCAGCTCTTGGCTTTGGTGGCTCACAGTTGCCTAGGAGTCTAGCTCCAAGGGATCTGGCATCCTCTTCTGACCTCTGTAGACACTTGCATGAATGCAGACACACATACATGCATACAAATAAATAAAAATAGTAATAAACTGAGAGATGAGATTGATTGATTCTTCTCCAACTGATGGAACACAATAAGACACACACTCCTTAAGGCACATTCATGGGCTCCTGCCTTCCAGAAGATAACAGGATAGCGTTGGGATTCTGGCTCTTAAGTCACCATCCTCCCTGATCCCTCCCGACAGATCCGTCAGGGCTCAGATGTTATCCTTTGTCCAGAGCTCAGGGACCTGTCCTCTGTCTCAGCTCCACACTAGGGAAGCATGGAAACAGTTGTTAATCTCTTGAGCTAGAAGCATGCAGTTTACAAGGAGATGGAATACATGTATGTTCCTAAGCACATACATGTGCCTCCAGGAGGAGGGAAACCTTGGACCTTGCTGGCCTGACATCAAACAGCCCTTCTCTGTAGCCCAATTGCCTCATCTGCTTGGGGCTTGAAATGGCCTAAAGAAGTAGTCTGTTTTGGTGTTTCCTTTTGGTGAGTTATTATGGTAAAAAAAAACAACAACAACAACAACAACAAAAACCTAACCCAAACCAAGGCCATTGTTGTAAATAACACGTAGCCTCGCTTCAGCACTTGAGTGTAAGTTCTTACCTGGATCTCTGAGTAACTTGGTTTGTCACTGTATAGACATGTCCTCCAAGTAACTCCTTGCTTTTCTTTCGTAATACTGGGCCTGCCATTTTGTAGACTTAAGAGTCTCCTGGTACACTTGTTAGGATGAAGATTATGTCTCTCTTCAGAGGCATGGAGTAAGCTAATGTAGGGATGAGGCCCCCGCACCTGAATCTCAAGTAGCATCCTTGCTAGTTTGGACCCATCCACTGAGCCCACAGTTATTGTCCACCGCAGTCCTAGACAATGATGTTAGACACACAGTGTTATGTTTGGCTTAACCATCTCCTCATCTCTTTTGTTGTTTTTTTTCCATCTAAACTCCACCCCCGAAGTTAATAAATCTATTAGATATCAGGATTGCTCCCTTGAAACTGAGTTTCCAACTGAACATTGTTTAAAGATAAGCATATCTTATTCCTTTAACTATTTATTTGACTTAATTGAGATCGGATAGAAAACCACCGAAGTAGAAGGAGGGGGACCTTCTATGAAAGTGGAAAATTTCAGACTCTTCTGCTAGATGTGGAGTGGCGGGGCCTACAATTTAACTCTTTTCCAAAACGCTTGAGAAATGGAAAGACTTCTTGATGCAGCCAGAGAACGTCAATCCAGATAATTAAAGGGCTTTGGGAATGGAGTTTGGGGATATGTAGAAAATTGGGGCACATTTTCCTGGAAAATGTGAATACCTTAAAAACAAACTTAAATTGGGATATTGCTTGGGGAATTGTGACCAGATGTTTTCCTTAGCTATCCGTGGCTGCAAAGACACGGGTTAGAATTGGAGCCAAAGTAATATAAATGGTAGGATGTTTCTGTGCTTTTGGCATGGTCACCATGCTGTCCTTACAGGGGCTGGGGTTTTGTTTAAGTACAGGGACTGGACATTCTCAAATATGAAGCCAGAAGAGTTAGATATGGTTTTGGCATCTCTGTGTAGCTTGAGTTCCTCCACTCTGTAGTCTGTTGAAACCAGTTCTAAGGGCTGATGCAGCTTCTGACACATCAAGGCTCAGTCTTAGGGGCTACAATGCAGGGTCCCCCTTTCTCTTCATCAGAAACCGACATCAAGGCTGTCCTCTTCTGCCCTCTTTTAATGGGTTAATGTTTACCCTGCAGCTTACCAGGAAATCTTCCCCATCAGTAAGAGTTTCAAATGACTTTAAAACTTCGAAGGTTTCAACACGTATTTCTAATGGCGAAAGGGTGCAGTTCAGTTTGGGACATAACCTGACAATTCTCTAGGGATGTTGTCTCTTTAAATTCGTATTTATCCTGCATTTTGAGCCACGGAGAGAAATGTGGGCAATTACCCTTTCCTTCCATGCACTCTCTGTGTGCTATTCTGGTTGTTCTCATATTGAACTGAAGCTTTTAGATGACATCATGTTTGCAATTTCAGTCGGGGCTCTCGGGCTTCAAGGCGTTCTTTCTTAGTGGCTCACAAGAAAAGCCAGGGACTCAAAGAACACAGGAGAAAAAGAATTATGTGTTCTCTATATGGTTGTATGGTTGTCATATTAAAGATACAGGGCTAAGCAGGTGGGAATCTGGATTATAACTTTATATATTTCACACACACACACACACATATATATGTATATATATTCACACATACATATATATGACATCTATATGGCTGTTGTTTTTCTTTCTGTCAGCAATGGCTGATACAAATCAAATGGCTTTCACTGCTTTATTTCTTATATTGAGGTTTGTGAAAACAAAGCAAAAATCCCCTTTCCAAATAGATTACATGTCAATTGTTTATTTCAGGCTGCAGTGTTTATGCGTTGAATGTAAAACTCTTGAAAAAGGTGCATCTACTGATTAGGGAAATTAGAATGAATCTAGCAATCGAGTCCATTTTTTAAATTCCTGGAATCAATCTCTCTTTGTAGCTCATTGTTACAAATGAGAAACCCCCCAGCTTATTGCCCCATGCACAGGAATGACTCTTGTTTAGTAGTTCGTATTTGTGCCTCTTATTTGCTTTATGGTTTATGACTTGTGAGATTTCTTGATTTGAGCTTTCATTAATGAGTTAAATCAAGAGCCTCTGTGTCTTGTCCATAAACATACTCTCTGGTGAGAAGTGATGGACCTGTGTCCCACAGGCTGCCTCAGAGATAGCGTCTGGTGTTGGGCCTAGGTTGGTGTCTTCTAGTTGGCTGTGAACAATGTCAACGTCACATTTGTCTATTCTTTCAGCTTCCCCTGAATGTCTTCAATAATTACTTCAGCCTCGGATTTGATGCTCATGTCACCCTGGAGTTCCACGAGTCACGAGGTGAGGACCTGCCCCGTTTCCGTCTCCATGGGAGGAAGTTTCCAGCCCTGTTCTCATGTTCCCCTTTGCCTGCGTATCACCTGCATGCTTGTGCTTCCCTCTTGGTCACCTTCATGATGACCCTGGGAGCTGGACCAGATGGGAACTTGCTATAAATAGAGACTACAGATCTGGCGGTCTCTAAACTGAAGGGCAGGGACAGAGGTCCATTCCAAGTTGTGGGATGTGAGTCTTTAAGTTTGACTCTTATACTGTGTTCTGAGGACCAAAACCGGAGCTTTGCACATGGAAGGCAAGATCCCTGCCACTAAGGTACCTCCCCAGCTTTGAACAGAAATTCTGAAAGGAAATAAAATTCTTAGATAACGATTTCTTTACTAATTAGGATCCACTCAGCTTCATAAGCCACCAGATATTAAAGTTTAATGTTCTTTAACCAGAGCCTTTGAAATATGATAGGAAAGATGAAAAGGGAAGGAACAGCCGTGTTGACACAAGGGACTGCAGGTCTTTTAGTTTGAGAGGAAGGGGTACGACGGGGTTGAGGTAGCTAGGAAGGTTCTGAGATCTTCACTGGGTGGGACAAGTGAGAAGGAGGTTGTGGTAACTTCTGGGATGAGAAGATGTGGGACCAAGACTCTGGGAGGACAAGTTTTGAAAGTAAGATGAACTGGCAGCTGATGGGTGCTAGGAAAGGAGAATACTTTCTTTGGTGTTGTGGTCCCTGGTAGATTGGGCAAGACAGTGGAAAGTCCCGCATCCATGTGCAGCATGAAACACTAATTGGACTCAGTGGATCCCACAAAAGATTGGGAGAAGATGTGCTGGGAGGGTCTAGAGAATGTCAAAGTGGGGGAAGTAGAGGCGGGCATGTTCATGATACATTGTATGCACATATGAGATTTTCAAAGGATAAAAATATTTTAAAAGCTAAAATAATATTATATATCATAGAAAAAAATAAATTCAAATACACATGAGAAAAGGATGAAATAATAAAATATTTCATCTGAATTTTCTTAGCTATTCAGAACTGAGAAAATTTAGGATATAGGTTGATAACGATCTCTTTCTCCACTCCATCTCTTTCCATCTCTACCTCCGTCCCTCCCTCCCTCCATTCCTCCATTCCTCTATCTCTCCATCCCTCCCTCCTTCCATCCCTCCCTCCTTCCATCCTTCCCTCCATCCCTCCATCTCTCCATTGCCTGCATTCTATCTATTAGTGTACACTCTATACCTCTGCCCTTGTCCTTGATCTGTTCCTGGGTCGGTACCTAGTTCCCTGTGAATATGTTTAGATGTAACTGAGACACAGTTATGTAAGGTCTGAAACTTGGGAGATGAAAGGCAAAGTTATTAGTGAGGAACCATTTCTTTCATTTCCTGGGCTCTGCAGGGCTTGAGTGGTTTCAAAACTCCAAACTTGAAACACAGAAATCCAAAATCCCATGCTTCAGATTGTGGTAATCAGACAAAGAATAATCTAACTCTTACACACTAGACATCCACAGTGGAGCACTAGGGTTCAGAGGTTTAGAATTCGAACTACAGCTGAAGCACAAACACAGAAAGCCCTGACTGGGTTCACCAGGTCTGGTTCTTTGGGCTTCAACGAAGGCTGTGAGGAGAAAGTGTCTGTGCAGTTGAATTCTGCGCTATGGAAGGATCAGCAGTATTGGATGAAGAAGGAACTGTTGCCCATGCTTCTTCTCTGAAAAGCTAGAAAACCACAGGCAGAATAGGTGAATTATAAAAGAACTTTAAATGCTCCAAATTGGAAATACCCTACACTGGCACATACCTGCCGCAGCGTAGTCGTGGGAAAGAGTTAGTCAAGCCGCCTGTGTAGGGCCTCTGTGACACGTTTTTCTTCCTGTGTTTCAAGAGCGTTCACTTGGCCTGTAAACAGGAAGCAGTTTTGGTTCCTAGCATATTTCTCCTTATTTCTTTATCTTTAAGAGTTTATATATGTGAACTTCTTAGTAATAAGATTTCTGAGTTTTTTTTTTTTTACAATACCCTTAAAGCAACTCAATATCACAAATACAGGAATTTCCAAAACCAGGCATCCTGTCTTGAAAAAAGGCCTGACTGAGTCAGTGGTCCCATGTAAGCTTGTTCAAGAGAACCTGATTTTGAGCCTAATAATTCTGAAGGTTGTTCTAATGACATACACCTTTGTACTAAGACAGAATTTTTATGCATCAGGATGAGGAGAATGCAGAGGGATAGCACAGTACAAAGGAATGTGGTTTGCAAAAGAATTTTGGGAAAGGAAACCAAATGCCAAGCAGCTGTCAGATTCCAGACATTAGCCTTGGAAGTTTATTGCTAGGGCTTAGTGTTTTATTTTAATTTTTAATATTTTTATTTATTCTTTGACAGCCAGTTTCATAGATATGTCTATATTAATCATATACACCCCACACTCTTGCCTCTCTCGTCTCCTGGACCACCCACACCCATAACATGTCCCCCAATACTTCTTTCCTCTTCAGGTCCCCTCTCCCACACCAACTGAGTCTGATGGGTCTTACCTGCACACACATGAGTGTGGGGCCATCTGCGGACGCATGGACAACTTTTCCTGGGGTATAACTCAAAAGAAGACTCCCTTCCCCTTTCTCTTTCTTAGCTTCCAATAAGCTTCCAATAGTTCCTCAACTAGGGTTGGGGATGTTGAGAGCTTCACCCGCTTGTAATGTGAGGCTTCAAGACAAAAGTTGTATAATTTGCTGCAAAATACCTTAAGGGTGACTCAGAGTCTCATGAAAGCCATTGTGAAGAAAAAAAATGAATCAATTGATGTCATGAACATATGTAACTCTAAATAGGAATTCTGCCAACCCATCTACTTGTGATGGATAATGGATTTGCGCAAAGGCAGAATTTTAAAAATGTAACCATAGAGAAAAGTTTTGGCATAGATGGGAAACTTCCCATCAAATGGACAGTTCTTAATATAGCTACTTATATAGTACTTCTTTTAGAAGGGACAATTAAAGTCACATTAATTTGGGGACAGTTCATTAGAATTGTTGCTGTGTAGATGGTTTTAGAGTTATGGGTTGAAAGTCAGGCAAGGAGTGGGGGATGTCTTAGTATTTTGTTTGACTTTGTGGGTAGAGGAGTAAATGTAAGTATCTGAGTCTCTGTATGGATGAGATTGTACCTCACTTGGTAGAATAGAGTCCTGATTCTTCCCAAAGTGGCCAGAGCATCTCGGATGAACTCCTACTGTTTGCAAAGCAAAGTGTTTGGGTGAGGATTTGGAGATGTAATGGGGTTGGTCATGTCATTTTCACTTGGAGAATCGCCTAGTCCTTTCATTGGTACCGTACTATCACAGGGCTCGAGGGGGCACACAGAAAACATGCCAGTACGTTGGCGTTTAGGCGTGTTAACAGTGATTATAGCTGTTAGTGACAAACTCAGGTCTCATTTGACCAGCCGTGTGAATGAGATGGTCACTCATTTGACATGGATATCAGACACATCAAGCTTTTAGCTTGAGATCAACTACTTCTGTATTACTGTCTCGTTGAGATTATGATTCAGAGGAGCAGAACCTTAGGCACAAGGTCAGGAAATACACACATGACTCTAGAGGAGGCAGCATTGGAATCAACGTAGGATTTGCTACTTGCACCAAATCTACAGAGGCATGTGGGCAGTGTGACTCAAAGGCTGTGACTTCCATGATTCAATCACAGAAACTATATTTCCTAAGAGGCTGCTATGTGTGGTGGTTTGCTAAATGTCCTCCTTGCCAAAGACGGTGCCGAGACTCACTGCATGCCACTGCTTGAGGCACCAAAGCTCCGGCAGCTGGTCCTCACTGCTGCAAACCTCCCATCTTGAATTTCTATGTGAAATTCACTCACTGTTACAGTGTCCACCTGTAACATGTGGTCATTACACTACTACACAGGCAGTGCTGGTTACAACACAGTGAGTGTCTATGTGATCTGATTAGAGTCAACCAATCTTAACCCTAACTGCCTGGGATGGCATCTTCTTTAAAAGAAAAAAAATCAGTTCACATCTAAAGGTGGAGTAACAGTGAGCCCAGGTACATATCAAGACACTTCCAACCATGTCTGAACTTTCATTTTCAGACCTGCCTCCTCCTCTTGTTTATTTTTTAATTGCCAGCTCCCAGTCCAATGGTAATAGTAAGTGGTTATGACAGTACCAGAATGTTCCATTGGAGGATAAGGCCCATTGATTACAAAATAGGAAGTATCAATAGAAGGAATGTATAGATGAGTTGTGCAAACAGTAAGCAATATGGGTGTTTATTAGGATTGTTGGCGGAGGTGGAAGATGTTTCCAGAAAGGATACGGGTAATACGTATGAAGGATAAGGGAGAAATGTGATAATAGAAAAGAATTAATGATGGTAACAATCATATCAGGCAAAAAGGAAAAGTGCAGAGGAACACACCTGCTTGTCCTCAGTGTGAGTCAGGTGAAAAGTGCACACAAACACACCTATCTGTCCTCAGTGTGAGTCAGGTGAAAGGCCCAGAGGAACTCACCTGCTTGTCCTGGGTGTGAGTCAGGTGAAAGGCCCAGAGGAACTCACCTGCTTGTCCTTGGTGTGAGTCAGGTGAAAAGCGAATGCACAATGAATGACTTTTCTACAGTGCTTGAAAGATGATATTGGTAATATGGACATTCTAAAAGGTAAAGGGCACTCTTAAAATGTCCTTAATGAGAATTGATATTGAAAAGAAAGAGTGTTTTCTTTTCGTGTATAAAATTCGAATTAAAAGTGGTCCTGTAACTCTGCATAGGTTCCTGCATCTTGGTTTGGATATCTGCAGTAGTGAAATAGAAAAGACTCGAGAGTCAGAGGAGCAAGTGCAGTGTTGGGGATGGCGTCTTCTGGGCAGGAGCGGTCGTTCTTGGTGGCATAGCGGCTGTGATGTCCTACGCATGGCCAGCACAAGCCTGAGCCCATCTGCATCCAGTTATGGAGAGGAGAGAGGCTC